TGTAGGATCTCAGCTCTGCCACCTCCCAGCTGTGTGATCGCGGCAGGTCACTTACCCTCTCTGGGCCCAAGGTTGTGGGTCTCTACTTACCCATGTGCTGTCGTGATCTCAAGTCCACATGGCTTGAGATCAGCCGCTTTTTCTCCTACACTTACTTTACTCCGTGCCACACATGCTCTCACGTTGTCACCCATGGGTGGTGGCTGAGGACCACCTACATCGACTGCTTTGCTGTGTGAGTGGAGCATGAGAAGTGGCACCTGGCCCGTCCGTAGCTCCCCTGGTGGCTTTGCATTCTCAGCGTCCTTAGGAACTTCAGTTTGATGAAGTTGAAATCTTGAGCTTCTAACTTTTTTCCAGCTCAGCATTTCCTCGGGGCTCTCAAGTTAAAGGTGGCTTTACCTTGTGAGGTCAGAGAGTGGGGGCGGGGGAGGGAGATGGACAGGATGGGGGTGGTCACTGGTGACTGCCGAGCTGGGGCTCCTGGAGGATTTTTTTTTCCATTCAAGTTTGGGGCTCAGCTCCTTGGGTGTGAGATCTGAGGGGCCCAAGACCATGCCAGGGAGCACCCTGTGGACCCTTCCCATCCCAGGCAGCTGACTCCGGGAGAGAGAAGCCATCGGTGCCCTGCATGGGACAGGCCACGGAGGTGGCAGGGGTGGTGAGAACTGCTGGGGCCACCGGGAATTGCTCCTTTCTCTTAATCCTTGCCCTGGCAGGATGCTGGGGCTGGTTTCTTTCTTTCTTGTCTTGTCTTTCTTTCTTGTCCATCTGCCTGTCTGTCTTTCTTTCCTTCTTTCTCTCTTCTTTCTTCCTCTTTTTTTTCCCTTCCTTCCCTGTTTCTTTTTCTTTCATTTCTTTTTATGTTTTTGTTTTGAAGTGTGAACTCCAACATTTATTTAACAATATGTTTCTTTTAACATTGTTGTACTCTTATTATTACAGTAAAAACCCCCCACAATTTAGCATCTTAACAATTTTTAAGTGCACAGTACAGAATTAAATATGTGCATATTGTTGTGTAGCGAATCTCTAGAACTTCTATATCTTGTAAAACTGAAACTCTGTATCCATTAAACAACTATGCCCCTTGTCCCCTTCCCCAGGCGCCTGGCAGCCACCATGTCCCTGTATCTGAGAGTGACTACCTCAGATCCTCATGTAAGTGGAATCACGCATTGTCTTTTTGTGACTAGATTGATTTTGCTTCACAGAATGAACTTGGTTTATCTGTGTTGTTGCGTGTGAGGATATTCTTTTTTAAGCTGAATAGTATTCCGTTGTATTTATATAACGTATTTTCTTGATCCATTCATTCATCAGTGGACATTTAGTTTGCTTCCACCTCTTGGCTATTGCGAAGAATGCTAAAATAAACCCGGGAGTGGAAATATCTCTTCAAGATCATTTTCAATTCTTTTTGATATATACCCAGAAGTGGGATTGTTGGATCACGTGGTAGTTCGATTTTTGATTTTTTGAGGAACCTCCACACTGACTGCTGCAGTCTAGCCTAGCACGTGCTGTCCTCTCTGCCTGGGACACTCACCACTGCCCCTGTCACCTTCTCTCTCATCTCACTCCTACTCCCTCGGGGCTCATCTTTGATGTCACTTCCTCCAGGGAGCCCTCCTTGAACCCTTGAGCCTGGGTCAGTATTTTAAAATGTAGGTTTTATTATTATCCAGGTATCGTGATGCCAACAGATAAGGAGGTGATTGTCATTGAAAAGATAATTTGTTACAGTTCCCAGGAGGAGGGGGTACAACACCGGGAAGGTGGGGCACACGGGAAGCACCAGTGTCAGTCAGAAGGCAGAGGAAGTCGGGGGAAACGTGGAGAAGGAAAGTCTTTATCGTGCATTGCATGGGAAAGGACAGGTGAGGCAGGTAAGCAGGCTTAGGACTGGCTGGTTTGAATGATTGCACTGGGCTCTGGGGGCATAGGTTCTGCCTTGTCGTCTAGTAGTACCTGGTACTGGGGTGATTAGGGCAGGTGGGTGGTGGCCCTCAGTGTGAGAGCCCATAAGGGAGGTGGTTGGGGTCTGGGCTCTGGATTAATTGGTTTGCATATGAAAGGCTCGTTTTTAGGTGAGTCTTTCACCATTTAAGAATTGGCCAGCCCTGGGAGCCGCAGTCCCTCCAGAGTCAGCAGGGCCTTAAAATGTCAAAGCGTCAGAATAAAAAGACACGTTAATACAGTCAGCTGCCACTGCTGTGGGTCCCTGCAGCTCTCTGTGTTTGACTGTTGACTTGTCCGTCACGCTGCACACTGTGAGCCTTGCAGGACAGAGGTGAAACTCCAGAAGTGAGGAGCCTGGGCACAAAAGGTGATTTTAAAGGGCAGCTCACAAATAACTTAAAAGTGTATGTCAAAATGTAATCTTATTCTTAAAAAATATTTTTAAGTCGATAACATTACAGGTGGTGTTCAGCCTTCATCTTGCTCCAACTTGACCCCCAACACCTCACACAGCCTTGACACTCAAACATTGTTTAAATGAGTGAATGAAGCAAGCCCTGGACCTGCACCGTGGACATCGCCACCCTCCTGGGCATCTTGGAATGAGAGGATCAAACGTGGATGGAGCTAAGGAGTTGTTTTCTCCAAACTTCATTTTGCAAATGAGAACATTGAAACTGAGAGCCAGTGACTTCCCTGAGGTTACACAGCAAGCTCATGGCCAATGTCTGACCCAATCTAGTTCTCCTTTTTTATCTCTGAGATGACCCCCTTGCCACGTGGGACTCAATTCAAGGGTGGGACCGACTTTTGCTTGCCCTTTATGGAAGCCCCTGCCTGTCTTCTGGCTTGTGGGGGCAGCACCCCCAGCAGCAGCCTGGACTCTCGGTGCACAGAGAGCCCCGCACACACTGGGAGCCAGGTGATCCTGATTTGGAACCACCCTGGGCCTCCCACTGAGCACAGTGTCTTGGTTCCTGATTCTTTTAGGTCAGGTTTCTTAGAGCCAGCACCTAGGCTCTGAGGAACAGGCTCTCCAGACTGCCAGGCTCCTGGGGCTCTGGGTCTACTCTATCCACCAAGGAAGATTAAGGACGTGTCCAAGGTCACATAGCTAGTCAGTCCAGAATGAGGGTCAGAATTGGGTGTTCTTTCCAGTTTCCAGTGTACCCCACCCCCTCTCCACATGGGTGACTGGATGGAGTGGGCTGAAATGGGCTCTCTGGGAAGGTAGTGAGCTCCCCACACCCCAGAGTGTTCAAGAAGAGGAAGGACATCCCACTGTAATCCCTCTGTAACTGTGACACAGGAAGTTTTGGTACAAGGTGGTTCTAGCTGGTAGAAGTGCTTAATGAGGATTGGTGTCTTGTTCACTGGAAGCCTTTGCGCTTGGGGTTTCTGGCTTGTTGGGCTGCTGCACGTGTGGGCCCAGGCAGCTGGGTTACTGTACATCCCCAGCACACGGGGCACTACCAGGAGAGCGCTTTCGGGGAAAGATGCTAGGGGCTATTTCCATTTATTTGTATTTGCTGCCTTTGATTTTGGCTAATAGCTCAGCTCCCAAGAACTCTGTGGGTATGTATGGTATGTATGTGTGGGTATGTGCTGGGGGTGGTCTGAAGGCCCTGGATGCGTGAGCTTGGACCCTTCAGAAGGTGATGGGCCCAGCCAAGGCCAGTGGTTTTGCCTAGTGGCACCCTGGGACGTTTCCCAGTGTGGCCACTAGAGGGAGCCCACAGGCCGGCTCTGCTGTGCCCCACCAGTGGTACCAGGAGGGCATCCCTGGGTTGGCCCATAATGGAGCAGCAGGGCTGTCCAGATGGTCCAGGGTAATGTATTTCAAACGTTTGCATTGAAATCTTACACGGGGCCCTATGTTCCAAGGACGGTTAGCTGGGAAACGTTTGGGGTGGAGGGGAAGGAGCAGTGTTGAGAGAGCAAACCTCTCCATTTGCACAGACTTCTGCTGAACACGCCACCCCCACCCCACCCCACAACATGTGCTTGGCACTGAGCTAGGAGGGACGCAGGGGACCAGGCTCAAGGGGGAGTGAAGAACGACATGATGGTCAGGGACGAGCAAAGGCACAAGGTGAGCGTGTGTGCACTGGGTATGGGTGTCCACGTGAGCCCGCTGCTGTTCCCCTAGACAGGAGAGCAGCCTGCCCCGTGGGCCTGCCCAGACGGCTGGTTACACTACGCACAACCTGCCTCTGCCCCAAGGGACACGGTGTCACCATGAACAACCACGCTCAAGAATGTGGAGGAAACATCTATGACATATTAAGTGAACAGCTCGGGTTAAAAAAAGTATGAAGAGTAGGACTGAATCAAAAAATATATATACAAAATATTGAGCTACTATTAATGATAGTTAACTTTGGTTGTGGAATTCAAGTTACTTTTATTATCAAAATTTTTTTCGCCTCTGAATTTGTGTCTATACATGTGTTGCATTTGTAAAAGAAAAAAAAAATCCAACAACGAAAACTTTGTTTTTCAAGCATGAGAGACTGCGGCAGCTGCTGGAAATAATTTACTGACTCAGGAGAGGCTGCAGGTGGAGATCCCCGTGGGGGCCTCCCCCAGGCCTCACAGCTGCACTGACTTCAGGTTGCTGTTACTGAAAGGAGAGATTTCTTTGAGCCTTGGGGTGGTGGTCCAGGCTTTCAATAGACTGAGGTTTCCAGTAGGTGTGAGTGATGCGGCCCCCACCTCCCCACCCCCTAGTGCGGGGCATAGGTTTTGCAGACCCCTTCGCTGAGGACGCTGCCAGGTTCCACTCTGGACCCAGGCAGGAGGGCTCCTGGTCTTGTCCTCGACTTTTAGGCAGTTCTTAGTTCCCAGAGAGAGCAGATGAAAATCATCTATCAACAAACTAACTCATTAGGCATAGCTTTTAATAAGGTGAAACACTATTTTTCTTGAACATTTTTGTCAAAATGTTTCTGCATATAAAAAGCTAGAAATAGAGCACCGCAGAATGCCAGAGCGGGGAAGGGTCTGAGAACCTTCCAGTCTCATCTCATGTTACAGATGAGGCCCGAGGCTGTGGGGTTGATTCTCACCCAGGCCCTTTTAGAGACGCCTCTGGGCCACCCAGGTGCTGCGAGGGGACATGGTGCTATGGGGAAGCGGGAAGGCTGGGGGCACTGCAGCACTCCCGGTGGTCTCTGAGGCGCCACATGCTCCAGCGAGAGCTGGCACGCCACCCCAGCCTGTGCTGTCACCAGCCCTGGAGCAGGAAGTGCTCGGAACCCGCCGTTGCCATGGAGGCCACCAGGGCCCAAGGAGACCAAAGGCAAGCCCCCCCCCCCCGCCCGCTGAAGCACCTCGGCCCATGTGAAGAGACGGGCGAGCCCCAGGTGTCATGAGAGCTTCCAGGACTCGGTGACCTGCCCCCAGATCTCCCGCAGTTCAGAGACGGGGGTGCTGCGAGCTCCTCCTCGGGACAAGCTGCCCCTGTAACAGCCGTGGTGGCGGAAGGGCTTCAGAAGTGTAAGTAGGGCTGGTACTGTCCATCCACTTTAGCGACAGAGAAGGTGTCCCAGTGACAGGTGCTGTCGGATGTGGCTCCATCTGATCAACTTGGCAGGAAGGGGCTTCCCTGGCTGGGAAGCAGCAGGGGTCTGGGAGCCAGGAGACCATCACAGGCAGCTCCTGTCCACGCAGAGGGACTTAGGGACTGACTCTCAGTGCCCACTCAGGGCTATGCTGCCTGGCAGTATGAAAACAGAACCAATCCATCTCCAGACCGCTGAGGTGCCCCAGTGCGCATGGAGAGTCCTGCCCGGGTGTGGGTTCTTCTGTGCTGACCAAGCCTGCTCTAAACCCAACACCCTTCTCTCCTCTCAGATTCCTCTAGGTCACGTTGGGGACTCCAGCGTTTATATCAAGGACAGTGGGGAGCTGGTGGAGGGTTTTAAGCTAGGGAGTTGGTCATTCTGATTCTTGCGTGAAAAAGGGATCAGAGAAGCATGTATGTGTGACCTGGGGGTAGGGGCACTTCCTTGTGCAGACATAAAGGAAAATAGACTGAGCTGGTATATGAGGGTGCTTCAACAGATTTATGGAAAGATTTGTATTATCTTTTAATCCTATCTTCCCATGAACTATTTGAAATACCCTAGTACAAGTTAAACACACACACATACACACACACACATTTGACATATTTGCTACACCTAATTAAACAATTTGTATAATCTAAGCAAGGTCAAAAGACAAATGACACTCTGGGGAAAATGTGTGCCGCACGTATGGCAGACATGAAGCTGGTGTCCCCAGTACATAGAGAGCTCCCAGGAAATGCGAAGGAAGCTACGGCAGCCCAGGGGAAAAATGAAAGCCTATGATTAGGTAATTTGCAGAAAAGGAACATTTAAAGGCCAATAAATATGTAAAAGAACACTTCACCTTACTGGTGGCCAGGGAAGTTCAAATTAAAATAATAGTCTGAAACCCTCTGTCACTCACCAGATTGGCAAAAATAAACATAGTGATAATACCTAGTACAGGAGACGGTGTGCGGAAAGCACGCGTAAATGGGTGCTGGGAAAGCACACGCTGCCACTCCGGGGCGAGTGAGCTAGCATTTCTAGTTCACTTAGAGTCGTACCTCTGACATCACAATCCCACTCTGAAAAATCTATTTTGTAGAAATAAAAGCAATAAAGCACAAAGATATATACATGCATTTAGATACAGGTATTGGTAACAGGTATAGATATATACACAGACATCCATACAAACGGCCCCGGTAATGTGTGTGTGTGTCTGCGTGTTTATTTCTCCCGTTGTTTGTGGGACTAAAACTCAGGAAGCATCCTGAATGATAGAAAGAGGGGAATAGTCTAATAAATAACGATGGAGCCACAGTATGAAATATTATGTAGCTATTGTGATTTTTTAAATAGAGGTTTTAATTTTTTATTGTTAATTTTTTAAACCTGTCTTTGCATTGGTTCACTTGTTACAATGAGCATATATTACATTTGCAATGTAAACAATCTAACGTAATAAAAAGGAAAAGAGAAGCCTGGAAGAATGGAAACCCTGTAGGCAGGAATCATGTCTGTTTTGCTCACTGCTGCATCCTAGAACAACTAACACTTTTGCGTAGGGCAGCTGCACAGAAAATACTTGTTGAAAATAAGAATGAATGAATGAACCACTTCCCACTGCCAGGGCTATCACGCCGGTGAGGTGCTATCTGGGGAAAGCACAGAGATGGCTGAGGTTCTTGGTCAACACATGCCGTGGAGGTCTCCTGGCTTCACCTGCTCGCCCGCCTCCCTTTTTCCTCCCCGAGGTTGCTCTGGGCAGCCACCCAGCCCATTGCACACAGTCTTGTTGGGAGAGTTAATCAAGGTGCTTGCCCTCCTGAGGGCAGAGGGTGGGTCCCTCACCTATGCCTGGCCAGTCGGGCCCTCTTGCTGAGAATTTGGAGTGAGCAGAACCACACAAAGCCTGAATGTGGGGGAGCTAGTTCATCCCAGAGGCAGCATCTGACAAAGATAACCACTGTTGCTTGTCACCCAGATCCCTGCAGCTGCTTCCTGTTCCTCCCCAGAGGGACCGCTTCGGTCTTCTGTGAGCATCCTCCTCCCCCCATCATCCTTCCAATCAATCCCAACCTCCCCCCACCCCCATCGTATTTTTCGGCATACCGTTAATCAGATTGGTTTCTGTTGCTTGCAACCACACTGCCCTAATAACATTCAGAGACAGCTGAAAAATCCTTCCACTCATCTTCTTTCGTGGCCCTCTAAGCTAAGGTGACCGTAGCTCCACTGGGATCTAGGAAAGCCCTGGTCTACACCTGTTGTCCAGTCTCCTGGTCTGAATGATACAGGATCAGTCTATTTATAGCCATCTTTTGATTTTTATCATCTTAGCAAAGGGTGAATAATCATGGGTTATTTCCTATTTTGCTTTATCGGAGCCATTTTTCCAGCACAAGAGCAGAGAATTGTCCACTAATGTGCTTTTTAAAAAGTAGACACTCTCTTGATTTGATAGATAACCCACATCTGAGGCTTACTCATTATTATATTTATGGTAAAATATAGATTGTTTAGGCCAATCTCCTCTGTAATATTTTGGAGAGATACTGTGGAAATTTATTGACAATTTCAACTTTAGCTCTTTTGTCTTCCAGGTGCTTATCTTTTACCCCCTGTGTAAACTCCATGATCATCCATGAAAATGTTGAATCCGGTGAGTAGATCAGCTTCACAAGAAAGCAGGTGCTGGAAAGGAGAAGCCTTGGTTAGAGTCATATCACCAAGTTTCCAGCAGGGGCTGGGTTCTGCACCACCGAGGACCTTAAGTCTTATTGGCCAACTCTGTTGGAAAGAGCGTGTCCAGGCGGCACCGTCCAGAAAACAGAGCTGACCCCTGTTCACATCTCACACTACAGTAGGATGGCACCTAAACTCAGATTCCGTAGTTTTCAATCATCCACCATATTCCAGGTACTACCCTAAGGCATATTTCCCAAAATTTATTTTATTTTATCCTTTTAACAACTCTGTAAGCAAGGTGATACCATCACCACCATCACTGTCACCACCATCACCATCAACACCTCACTATCACCACCACCACCATCACTGTCACCACCATCATCACTGTCACCACCATCACCATCATCCCCACCACCACCATAGCCATCATCACTATCACTGTCATCACCACCACTATAACCATCATCACCATCACCACCACCACCACCATGACCATCATCACCATCACCACCACCACTATAACCATCATCACCACCACCACCATAACCATCATCACCATCACCATCACCACCACCATGACCATCATCACCACCACCACCACCACCATAACCATCATCACCACCACCACCATAACCATCATCACCATCACCATCACCACCACCATGACCATCATCACCACCACCACCACCACCATAACCATCATCACCACCACCACCATAACCATCATCACCATCACCATCACCATCACCACCACCATGACCATCATCACCATCACCACCATAACCATCATCACCATCACCATCACCATGACCATCATCACCATCACCACCACCACTATAACCATCATCACCACCACCACCATAACCATCATCACCATCACCATCACCACCACCACCACCATCATCACCACCACCACCACCACCATAACCATCATCACCATCACCATCACCACCACCATGACCATCATCACCATCACCACCACCACTATAACCATCATCACCACCACCACCATAACCATCATCACCATCACCATCACCACCACCACCACCATGACCATCATCACCATCACCACCACCATGACCATCATCACCATCACCGTCATCACCACCACTATAACCATCATCATCACCACCACCACCATCATGACCATCATCACCATCACCACCACCACCACCATGACCATCATCACCATCACCATCATCACCACCACTATAACCATCATCATCACCACCACCACCACCATCATCATCATCACCATTGTCATCTTTCCTATTTCACATATGAGGACTGAGAGCCTCAAATGAATAAGTGACTTGCCCAAGGTGGCATAACTAGTAAGTGGCAATAAGAAGATTTGAACTCAGATCTTCCATTCCATGGCCCACGGTCTTTCCACCACTTTTTTAGGGCTTAGGATCAATCACATCCATTCTGATGGGTCACACATGGTGCTTGTTTCCTTGCTAGGTTTCTCTGAGTCATCGGTCTGAGGTTTACATCCATCCTGGGCACTCTCCTGCTCCCTCAAGGGAATTGTTGTGATCCCCCCAGGGCCTCAAGAAAATTTCTAAGTTCTTGCCCAATGACCCGGCAGTTCCACTCCTAAGTATATAACCCAAAGAACTGGAAGACAGGTGTTCAAACAAAAACTTGTATGTGAATATTCCTTATTGTGAATAGTAGCACTATTCACAATAGCCAAAAGGTAGAAACACCCCAAGTGTCCATCACCTGATGAATGGATAAACAAAATGTGGTCTGTCCACACAATGGAATATTATTCAGCCATAGAAAGGAATGAAGAATGAAGTACTGATACAAGGGGCAACCTCGAAAACATCATGCTAAGTGAAAGAAGCCAGGCACGAAGGCTGCATGTTGTGTGATTCTCCTCATACACAATGTCCAGAATAGGCGAATCCACAGTCAGAAAGAAGATTAGTGGTTGCCAGGGGCCAGGGCAGGGGCTGGGGAGTGAGAGCTTAATAGTTATGGGGTTTCTTTGGGGGATGATGAAAAAGCTCTGGAACTAGATAACGGTGATGGTTGCATAACATCATAAATATACTAAATGTCATTAAATTGTACACTGTAAAATGGATAAAGTGGTGAATTTTATGTTTTGGGTATTTTACTGCAATAAAAAATTCCCTACCTGACATCTTCTCAGTTTAATCTCTCTCCAAAGGACACGTTAGGTAAGTACTCAAACAACACTCCTTGAAGCACAACACTATCACTGCTGGTGCATTCTTCAGAGCTACCTGCAAAGAAATGGTCTTTCTCTCTGACCTTTTGCCTCTGGCACCACGTGTCTTAGATCTTAAATTCCAAATTACTTTGTAGCTTGAGATCCTCAGTCTACAGAACACTGCATCTTTGCCTTGAGAAGATGCCCCATGAGAAATCTTGGCCGCATTTGGAAATTAAACAATATTTTAAAATTGTTCTTGATTTTCTTTCTGCTGTACAATTTGGAAAATCTGACATTTATGTGAGGTTCAAAAAGATTTTCTTTCTTTCTTTGATTACCAAGCAGCACAAAGCTCGGCTGGAGCGCCGGATAGTTGGCTCAACCAACCGGTGGCGTTTTCCCAAAGAGCCTTTCTCTGGGGACCTGCTGGCACTTTCCCAGATGTGCAAAGCTCTGAGCATAGACTTCGACAAAGCTCTGGAGAACCCAGACAGGTAGGGAGAATCAAAGGCCTGATGCAGGGTCCTTCAGTGTGGACTGCATTCCTGGAAGGGAAGGAGGCTGTCACGGTCACTTCTGCAAGGAAAGTTTCCTCTGGCTTTGTGTTTGGACATTTCTCACAAATGTCCATTTTCACCCAACCAATTGACCTCCCCACCCTGCCTCAATCCCGTGGTATTCTGAGCAGCAGGCTAGACCATCACTTCCCTGTGTCACGAGCTCTTTCTTGCTCCTCCTGGAGACACAGAGCTGTACCCTGTTGCAGAAGGTACACTTCATTTCCCTGAGCTTTGGACCTGGCTTGATGTTTCTGCCCTCCCTGGGCTGGCAGCATCTGTCTTGAGAGCTCACAGTCAAATCTGCCTGGGCGTACCCCTGGGGCAGCATCTGGCACAGAAGAGCTGCTTGCCCGATGTTTGCTGAGCAGGTAGCCCAGTCTTTCCTCCCTTGACCCACTAACCAACCCTGTGCCATTGCCCAATGCCTTAGTGCCAGGGCCAGGCTGGAAAAGCAGGCGCTGGAGCTGGGCCTGGGAATAGAGGCACATTCCCAACATCCCCGCCTGTCACTTCATCTCAAGCCATTTGGTCCCAAACAGTGAAGAGGACAGCTCACAGATGCCATTTATTCCATTAGCTTTTCCAATGATCCTAAAATGAACCCCAGCCCTTGGGGTCTGCAGAGCCTGCATGATACATGGTGTATCTTGACAAGCAGCCATCGTACACAGGAGATGGCAGTGTGGTTACTTCTGTAATTCGGCACCTCCTGGCTCTGCTGATGACAGATGTTGTGAGCATGGTTGAGCTCATGGGCATTGCTCCATATTTTCCAAAGTCTGTTCTCCACTTTGAGATCAGTCTGAACTCTTGACCCTGGCCAGCTCTTTCCAGACATGTCACCCAAGCCACCAAGGGGATTGAGGGTGGCTTGGGTCAGGTCCCCTGCTCCTGTTGGGTAAACAACTCAAGCTCCCACCACCTCCTGCGGCTGAGTCACTAGTCATCATCCTGTTCCCTGGAAAGGGCAGCACGTAGTCAATGTTATCCTGGAACAGGCTCCCACTCAAAGCTGCCCCCAGGCATCCTGGCCCATGAGGTCTCATGCATCATGGAAACAGTGTGGCCAATTTGACAGTGCATTACACAGACCAGATGTGGTCATCAAGAGTCCCTTGGCTGGTTGGCTTTCTTGAGATGACTGTCTTCAGGCTGTGAAGATATGACTCAAATTTTGTTTCATTTCCCTGCTCAGCATGATGAGTACATAATGTTTATGGACAAGTATCCTATCTACGTTGTCATTCGTTCATTCAGCAAATATTTACTAAGCACCTGCACAATGGCTCGTGCTAGGGTCACAGCAGTAATCAAACACCATTATCTGTCATGCAGAGGACACATGAGTAAACAGGCAGCCACAAGAAACTGCAGAAGTTTTAATGGGGGTAATCCCAGGATGATTAGGGGGAGGGCTGCCAGCCCAGCCTCCCCACAGAAAGCAACGACTAACCTTATCCTGAAGGATGAGTAGGAGCTTGGCAAGGGAAAGGTGAGGGGGAGAACGTTCAGGCAGAAGGGCCAATGCCTCTGGGAGGACAGAAGCAGGAGCTGGTAACAGGGCCTGGAGTGGGGAGCACTGAGGGACGAGGCTGCAGAGATGAGCAAGAGCTGAGGAGTGTGGGTTTCCCCCAGGAGCACTGGGGAGACACTGGAGACTCTCAGCGAGAGAGGCAAGAGCAGCTTTGTGCTTCCTGTGGGGCGTGCACCCCAGGGGAGCAGGGCTGGGATCTGGGAGGTGTAGACAGTGACGAGGGGGAGATGATGGTGGCTTGGGCAAAGGTCATGGCAATAAGGGCAAAGAGACATGCACAAATTCAAAAGATATTTCTCCAGATCTAGGCAAGTGATGAGATGTGACAGTGCTCAGTATTCTGGCTTGTGCTGGCGCTGCCGTTTCAAGAAACAGAAACCTCCAGGCCGAGGAGCAGGGTAGGGTTCAGGATAGATTCTGAGTTTAGTTTCTGAACATGCTGAGACTGGGGACTGAATGACCTCTAAACAAAATTGTTGCTGAGTTAACATCCCAGAAATAAGCAGAACCCTCTATTTTTTTCTCCAGCAGATGTTTATTGAGCACCTACTACATGCCATTATTTTAGACACTCAACAGAGGAGGTTTCATTTAGGCAGTGAAGCGTACCTCAAATACCTCCGGGGTAAGTCCTGCCCACAAACTGGAAGCAGGAATCCACATTTTGAGCCAGCCATCACACAGCCTATAGTTTATCAAATCAGCAGACAAATAATAACTCATGGAAACTCCCAAAGGGCAAGATGTGATAAGGTTGATTGCTTTAGGGATGCTTATGCCAGAAAGATCCATGTCACGTTGGAGAAAAATGTCAGTATTAACTCCTGGATTTTTTGTTTGTAATTTTCCTTGAGGTTATGCATTCCACAACTTCAGAAATTTTTCTCTGAGAATTTGAAGAATGGGGCCATCCAAAGTGGGGAGGCAGGTGAGTTTTTGTCACCCATGGATTAAATCAGAATGTTGTTAACTTCAGGGGCATCTTGTGGTCTTTATGGAAGGAAACCAGCCCATATGCTAGGTCACTAGTCTACAAATTGCAATTCTTTCCCACTGTACAATGTCCAACATACAATAGGTGTCCCGTAAATATTTGTCAAATGCACAATGAATAAACCAAGCTTGGCAACCACATTTTCGTATGCTAATGGCCACAGTAAAGACAGATGTGCTGATGTCAACAAATAGCCTTTGGACTGGAAGTCTTTGTCTCTTTGGGCTCTAGCCAGTGATAACAGATATTCACGTCTGCACTTGTATGAGAGGACTTTAGTGAGGTAGTATCAAGAATCAGAGTAGGTCTGCCCAGCTAGAAAAAGGCTCACTGAGCCTCAGTGAGGAGCCTGGATAGATCAGCTCCTTAAAGGAGGTTTTTTTGAATAAACCACACCCCACGGTATGGCTGCCTGAGATTGGAGCCAGCTTCTTTCCAAGGGGAGGCTAATAGATTTCTTCTCACCTGTCAACTCTGATTGACCCAGTGAAGCAGTCTGAGGCCACCTCCTGGCTGGGGAGAAAGTGTTCTGGGATTGACCAGTGATGCACTGGCCATCCTGAAAGTGGCAATCAGCGTCTGTCAAGAGAACATGCCTTGTGCACAATTCTGCTCCTGCTGACAATCACCCTAATGGGGTGGGATTTTTTTTCTAACCTAGCATAACCAGACCACCTGAGGCAATCCAAGATTTGAGATGTAAACTCAGGTTCTGAACCCCAGCACCAAACGATACCATAAAGCTGGTGAATAACAATAAGGAAGGGCCGGCCCGGTGGTGCACTGCTACAGTGCGCCGCTTGGGAAGCGTGCCGGCGCTCCTGCCGAGGGTTCGGATCCCACATACAGACCAGCCGCTCACTGGCTGAGTGAGGTGCGGGGGCAACACCGAGGGTTGCGATCCCGTTGCCGGTCCCGGTCCGGTACAGGCGCGACACTGAGGGTTGCGATCTGTTGCCGGTCCTGAAAAAAGACAAAAAAAGGAAAAAAAAAAAAAAAAACCAATAAGGAAGAGGAAACAGGTACCCAAGGTCATGCAGTCAAAATAATGGCAAAGCCAAGAAGTAAGAAGATGGGGCTAGTGGCCTTCCAGGTCCTGTCTGGCACAGAGATTTAGGGTCTGGGGGATTGCCCCGTCCACCCCTGTTCTCCCAGCCTTGCAGAAGCGCAGGAGTTGAGCCATGCAGAGCCCTCACCCACAGCCTCTCGTGCCACTCCCAGACTATATCCTTGCATTCTCCACCTGCCCTCCTATCACAGCCTCTTCTCATTTTAATCGTCTATGCTGCCCATAGGTTAGACTCCCCGGCATTAAGCCTTCCACAATTTGCAAAGAGTCTTCACATTGCCGTTGGCTCTTTGGTGGTCCCCATTCCCTGGAGGAAAGCGAGGCTCATGAGAATCCTGCTCTCTGATGAGTCTTTTACTGTGTGCACCTTGCTGTGGCCTCCCAGGTGGGTAGTAATTGGGTGCTAATAGCCCAGTCGTTCTCACCAGGGAACCAGGCAGTGATTTAGCTCCACAGGGGACATTTAGCAATGTCTGGAGACATTTTTGGTCATTGTGACTGGGGAGGAGAGTGCTACTGGCATCCAGTAGGCAGAGGCCAGAGATTGCTGAGCATTCACAACGCACAGGACAGCCCCCACCACCGAGAATTATCTGGCCCAAAACATCAACAGTGCTGAGGCTGAGAAACTCTGTAACAAGGGAAGGAAAGATGAGCTGCCCCCAAAAGTGTCCCAGCTAGCATCAGCTCTGCAAAACCTTTTCCAATTCCCAAGTCGGAGGGTGGTGCACGTGCCTCTGACGTCCCACAGCTGTTCGTCAGTATGTCTGTTGGATGTTTGTGGCTTCCTGTGGACCCTGTAGGACTGCTTACAGTGAGCTCCCGAGGCCTCCACCCCACTGTTTCACTCTGGAATAGCTGATTGAATGGAGGAGGATGAGGGAGAAGTTGGTGCTTCTTTGGGTAGGGATGTTGTCGAATCATTTGTTCGGTGTTATCTTCTCTCCTCAGATGTGATTCTCGAATGCCTGGGCCACAGGTGGGAACTCCATCAGCCCCAGCTTTTTCAGTCCAAGACCTTGACCAAGCTGTACTTGGCGGCCCTGACACGGGGTACCACAAGCCCCCCGAGGGAACTGGAGAAGCCTCTGCGAGGTACTTGCTCACCAGCACCTGGCGCTGCAGCCCCAGGGCCCTCTGGTTTGAGAGACCCCAGCTTGGCACTTGGTTATTTTGAGACCAGGGGGACTCTGGCTCCAGGGTGTGACCTCATCACATGACTTAAGCTCTGTTTTCTCAGTAAGGTGGGGGCGGAGTTCTTATGAGGCTTTGAAGACTAGAGGAGGTAATAGATGGGAGGTTCTAGAATAAGGTCTGGCTCATGTGCGCCCTCAGTAGATGTCAGTTGTTATCCTTGTAATAACCCAAGTCTTGTCTGGCCAGCTAACACCCAGAGACTCTGCCTGCTCCTCTGAGAAGAGAAAACGGTCTGCGTTGAATCTTCTGAAGAGTTTTCTGGAAGGAAGGCACAGTTCTGATATCTGTGGCTTGTTTGTGCTCATTAGAGGTTTACATGCGTATGTCTGTTTTACTGTCTTTTCTTTCCAACTCCATCTCATTCCAAAAAGAATTTAGGTCACTCTTTCTTTCTCCTTTTTCATCTTAACCATCCCCAGCCTCCTCTCACCTGTTCTATAAGTCTTCTCTGATCACATTGCCAATTTCTTTGGGCAACGGGATCGACATCACCTCGCGCTGACTCATGAGCAGGTGCTGTGGAAAATTCAAGACCCGCAAAGCCAGACAGTCTGCCGGTCAGGATGGGTTTGCATTTCCAGGACATGGCAGCAAAGCCCTGTTATTCTGGAGCCAGACAGACAGTTGGAGTCCCTGTCGCCACCCCTCCCTGAGCCTGGGGAGAGAGCCCTGCTGCCTGCAGAGTCTGCCTGGCCCCAATGCCTCTGACTCAGCCCCTCCCCGGCTGAGCTGGCAGTGAGACCAGCTGCAGCTTTTTCACAGAATCGGAAAGGCCTTGGTGCTAGCTCTTCCTAGGCGCCCATCGCAGTGTCTCCAAGAGCAGGACTGGGCTCTTTCATCTCCCCTGTGTCCAGGACAGAGCATTCCCCAGGCCACCATGAAAGGCTCTGGTGACCCAGGCTGTGAGCACATTGGAGAGCAAGAGATTTGGGAAGGAGCAAGGGATGTTATTAATGTCATGGTCATTAACATGTCCAGAATGGTTTCACTAAAAAGAAGAGGTTTGGCCCTGCTAAGACAAGCAACTATGATCCAAGCCCCTCTGCTAGGTGCTGGCCTGGTTCGGTGATGTCAGTGAAGGTGCGGAAATAAAACCTCAATCCCCTGGACTGTCATGACTTGCCAGGGTCTCTCTCAAGCACCATGAACTAATCAGACCCTGGGACTCGTGTCTCCAAGACTTTCAATGGGAATAGTCACAGTCCTTCATGTGCCCATACATGTTTCACAATGATGGTCTGCACACCCATCTCACAGTTACTGCTTTTATGCTCTTGAGAATGTCTGTGTCGCTGTCCTGGAATCAGCAGCAGAGGTTTCTGATCCTGCCCTGCAGCGGTGGGATCTGCGGAGGTGGAGACCCTCCCAGCTGCCCGGCCTCCCCCAGCTGTACTTGAATGGGACCTGCTTATTCTCCAGGAGGAAACCCAGGAAGGAAACAGCACTCTTTTATTGAAAGCAAACCAACCATCTTGGTTTCGGAGAACTTCAGCAGAGAATGACCAAATTATTCCTTTCCTATCCTACTTGGGGGTCTTACTTAACCTGGAAGGGATGTTAAACTTCTGTCTTCCACTCACTCTGATCTCGCTGATAAAATTCCTTCCTTCCTTCAGCAAACATTGAGTGCTTAGTTCATGCCAGGTGCCGTAACAGGAACTTACCACTGGGGCGACAGAGGAGCCAACCCAATATGATGAGAGGCACTATCAATGGCATGACACAGACTCATACGAACTGCACCTCCTGGGAACCTTCCGTGTGCTGGGTGCTCAGGGGCGCTGTCTCAGTTACGGGGAAGGGTAGGTTGGCGCAGGCAGACGGGAGGCCGTGTGGTAACGCCAGAGGGGAAAATGACCCTGAGCCAGGAACAAGGCCTGGCACTTAGTAGATGCTCAATAAAATATTTGCTGAATGACAGCCTGAACAGAGCCAAGTGCTGGAGGATACTGAGGGGAGACTGAGGAAAGGGGACCTTTGTTCTCTCTTTTTTCTGCAGTCTGTGCAGTTGCAAAGCATGACATCCTTTTTGCTGCCTAATGTATGTCATTTTTCATTACTGGAACCTTGAGCTTACTGGAGATGGAACCCTTTCATTCCATTAGTTCAGCTGATCTGTACTTTGCACCAGTGTGTGCAGGACTGTGGTGGGTCTGGGGAAGGAATGGCCAGTAAACCATCCACCGTGCCACCCACAGATCCATGGGGTGACAGCAGGTCGTGGTAAAGCTAGTCTGTGAGGAAGAATGAAGCCCGTTAGGGGGTGCCACCTTACGTATGGTATCAACGAGGGCCTCTCTGAGGAGGGACATGTGAGCAGGCCCCTGACGAGGGAGGGTCCACCCTGTCCTGGGGAACAGGACAAGAGGAGGCAGGTTTGGGGTATGGTGAACAGAATGGGGGGAAGGAGTCAGAGGTCACAGGGTCATGGGGCCATTGGTGGGGCTTTGGCTCATGCATCAAGGGTGTGGGATGCTGCTGGAGACCCGGAGGCAGGGCCATGTTGAGACTCACATTTGAGAGTGACTCCGAGTGGATGGGGTTGGCTGGCGATGAATTGGGCCCCCCTAGCCCTTCTTCCTGGAAGCATTTGGTGGCAGGGCTCCCCAGTCTGGAGGTGTTCCAGGCCAAGTGTCACGAGCCACTGGGTGGACACTTTGGTCTCAAATTGTCCTTCAGCAGGTGGTCACTGGGCTCCCTCCTCAAGCCTGCCCTGCCCTAGGCGTTAGGAGAGCAGAAGCCACCAAGGCCCACTCTTTGTCCCCAAATTGCCCACAGCATAATGGGGGGAGGGTGTGGAGAGAAGAGAGAAAGAGAGAGTTCTAATAATAAATATTTAAAATGCATTGTGAGCATCAATTTCCGTTTTGACAATGCCCAGTGGCTGTGGACGATCATTGGGGGAAAGCTGAGTAAGGGAGCACAAGAACTCTCTGCACTATTTTTGCAAGTTCTTGTGAGTCTTTGACTATTTCAAAATAAATAATTATGTAAAAATGTATCAACTAAACAAACTAAATATAATGTGATGCATGCCAAGATCAAGGTTGTGCCAACGGCAGTGGGGGCTTTGCGCGAGGTCCTCACTGTGGCTCTCACAGAGACACACGCCTCATTGTCTGATTTCCTTTACCAGCTCAGTTGCCAGAGAAGATCAAAGAAAGGTCCCCTGTGAAGAAGATGATCATTTCCTTGAAGATCAATGACCCGGTGGTCACTAAAGTTGGTAATGCACACCTGTCTTCATGTTCTGAGAATGCCGTTGAACAAAAGGTCCTCCCAGACTTAGAAACAAACATGCTAACCACAAACAAGCAGTGCATATTCCTTATCAAAAATGCCTGATCAGTGCAAAGAAAGAAGGGGCAAGAGGGCTGGGATGACTTGGAGAGATGGGGGAGGTGGAATGCTGCTAAACAGAGGTGCTTGTCATTGGGACAGGGAAGGACACCAGAAGGGAAGGAAGCAGTCAGCCCCCACCCGAGCTCACTCCCACCTGGAAGCCCTCAGGCCCACCCTTGCTCCCCAGCAGGCTTCACCTTCCCCCTCCCAACGAGGACCCCTGCTGGGGGCTTCCCGCAGCAGAAGCCACCCCCAGGGTGCTCCCCTGGACTCTCTCCCCATCCCTTCCCGGCCACCCAGACAGACTTCTGTGTTAGTGCAACATGTGTGACATCACGTGATGACGCAGGTTTCTAAGTTGCTAGGTCACAATATAATCCACGTGAGCAGGTCCAGCCAGTTGTCCTCAGAGGACACCCTGATGACACAGCAGCACTATTTGGGATCATGTAGGACTTGGAATGGGCCAAATCCATCTGGCCCCTAGCCAAGGCAGTCTAGTCCCTGAACTATCAAATCATCCTGGATCTTTCCAGGAGTCCTTGGCCTCTTTTGAAGTCCCTAGACTCCAAGGGAAATCTGCTGTAAGCTATGTCGTCTCCAGAGAAAAAAATGCACCTGCACACAATTTCTGCACATATTTGGGCAGTCAGACTTCTGCATAGGCCACAGCCCCAGGTTAGGCAAGACCCCCGAGACAGTGTCACCCCTGAAGTGACCAAAGCAGAGACCCTGAGGCTGGGCTGGAAAGAGCGTCCTTTCTACAGGAGCTCAGCTTTCTTTAGTTCCCTCCTCAACTCCCTCGGGGAGGCCAGGGCTCAGACTGAAACTTGCCCGGCAGTGTCTGCACCCAGGGCAGAGCTGGTGTGTTTTCTCGAAGGGCCTCTCTGCCCGCCCAGCTGCAGGGGACAGTGAGGGCCCCGGGAGGCGTCCTGCGTGCAGAGCCCATGCTGAGGGCTCTCTCGGCTGCTGCCTCCCCAGCCTTTGCCACGGCCCTGAAGAGCCTCTACATAAGCGAGGCGGAGGTGAACATGGACGACGTGCTGGGGGTGCTGGCCTCCGCCTACGTTCTCCAGTTCAGCAGCCTGTTCCAAAGGTAAGGACACGCGGCCAGGCTCCGGCCAGGGCTGGCGCTGGGTAACATCAGAAGGGCCCGTCCCGGCCCATTCCATGGAGCATTCCTCTTCCCTGGGCTAAGATGCCTCGGGTTTTTTGGGCCAAGAACATCTTTGAACCTGGAAAGGAACCAAGACTATTAATTCGCACTAATGCATCACGAGCTTGTAACTGAGCCCTCTCTCCAGCAGCACACTGGTGCTAACCAAATGATCCTCCACCCACAGGGATGAAATGCAAGCGGGGGACTCCCACCACCAGGAGAGACTTTGCAGTTGTGGGCGTGCAAAGCGACTTCCCCGCAGCCCTCAGAGCAGGCTTGCTTGTCAATTCCACCTCTTCTCATTTTTGCCTAAAAAATTCTCTCTCCATGAAAACACACTCATCAACTGGCCGTTGGAGGACACGTTGACTTTTCCCATCACTGTCAGGCCTCATGTTTTTTTTCCCACTCTGCCCAGATAAAGCCTCGTATTTTCTTGTAAATAATATTTTTATTGTTACAAATGTTACACACGGTCATTGTAGATCTTTTGGAAGAGAGAAAAATGCAAAGATCAAAGTCAAAAGTCGCCCATGGATTTCACTGCCTATTTGGGGGCACAACCGTTCTCCTGGGCAGTCAGCCCTGCTGGGCACCTGGGCTGCCCACTAGGGGAGCTTCCGGGGTAAACAGGAGGCAGTCACAGTGGACTGGCATTGGATGTGGGAGCTTCCTCATCCTGACATGCTTACCTGGGATTCTGGATGCCTATAAGGTTTGTGGATGCTGAAAGCACTAGGGAACCTTAGACACGTCTCAGTGTCTGCCTTTGTCCAAGCAGCCACTGGAGTGCAGTCTAGGAGGTTGAGCATGAGAGGCTCCCAGCTTTCACTGGACTTTTTCTGCAGAGTCCAAAGCAACCTAGCGTGTGAGATGCAGGGCCTGTCCTCAGCCCTGCAACAAGCAGCGTCTTAGCCTCCAGGTATCTGAGTGGTCTCCACTGTCAAATGCAGCTCATAATATTTGTCCTTCCTACTTTCTAGGACTTTGTTCATTAGGGGATGTCAGCACCCAGGGCTTTGGGATGGGGTGTTTGCCATGATCAGACACTGTTCTCAACTCTTTGCAGGGATTACCTCATTTCCTTCTCCCTGCAGCCCTAGGAGGTAGTACTATTACTATGCTCATTTTGCAGATGAGGAAATTGGGGCCTCCAGGGGTAAGTAACTTACCCAAGGCCACGTAGCTCCCAAGAGAGAAACTAGGACTTAAAGGAGGTCTAGGGGCCCCAGAGCCTGCACCCCTAACACTGTACTATTCTGCTTTGCTCAGGTGAGGCAGTAATGTCACCTGCTCATTTGTGGTCCTGGCCCTCCCTGCACCCCTCCCTTCAGTGGCATTTGGTCAGGTGGGGTTTGCTTAGGATCATTCACTTCTCAGTTTATTCCATCATCCCTTCGTTCATTCGTCTGCTCCTTCAGGAACAATTTCCTGGACTTCTCCAGCATGCCTAGGGGACAGGAATGGACCAGACAGGCAGGGTCCCTGCCTCTACAGCCTCCTGTTGAACAGTCTTCAAGACACTGGAAAGGAGTAAAGCTGGGTGGAGTGGAGGATGGGAATGGAAAATTTTGTGCTGTATATTATTAATTTCAAGTAAAGTTGGTACCTATGATAAGAAAAAGCATTTCTTAGAACCACGCCCCCACTTTGTATCCTATAATATTCCTGTGTTCGTTAATGCTTATGAAAGGGTAAGTGAACCAAATGGAAAATCATTAATGGGATTCATTTTTCTAGAATATTTTGTTCCTTCTCCTGGGCTTTTTCAGAGATGTGTGCTGACTGCACTAATGTCCTGAAGGCAGAGGTGATAATCTCGTAGATTTTTGCTCTCCTAATTCCTGAAGAGATTCAATACAGAGAGGAGATTTAGGGCAGGGGATGGTCTGCCTGGCTTGTTTCACCTCAAGAATCAGTTTCATCTCAGTGAAAGAAAGAAAGAAAGAAAGAAAGAAAGAAAGAAAGAAAGAAGGAAGGAAGGAAGGAAGGAAGGAAGGAAGGAAGGAAGGAAGGAAGGAAGGAAGGAAGGAAGGAAGGAAGGAAGGAAGGAAGGAAGGATATCCCATCCAAGCCAAGAGAGGACATCAGCTGCTCTGCAGAGGGCAGAGACAGAATCCCTCCTGGTGACCTTGCAGGTTTTAACTCACTTTTTGTAGAGTCCACACAGCCAGATTCAATCTCGCAAACATTTTTGAGCCAGTGCCTCATTCCTGGGGTCACCTGAGATGACTCAGGCCAGGCACTTGACCTGGAGCATCTGACAGCCTCCTTGGGGATGCAGACGCCCTGTGAACCCTGAGAAGCAGGTGCTTAGAGGCCTGGACCCATCTGCAGAGGACACACTGAGGAGGAGCCCAGAGCCCTGAAAAGGCACTCCAGCATGTCAGCATGGTCATACTTGGGGGCTGGCTGGCTGTGGTAGATGACAGATAAGCAGCCATAGGCAGAGCCAGCTTGTGTAGGGTCTTGGAGCCGTCTAACGAACCTGGACTTGACGCTGCAGATCATCAGGGAAAAAGTCTGGGTTTTCCTAAGATTGGCCCTTCCATTGCATATGTCACCTGCCTTCGGCTCAGCACAGCCTGTGACTCAGTGCACTTGCGTGCAGCTAATTCTGGTGCTGTGCAGGAAGCTATCTCCACCCACGTGCTGGAAGAGCAGCTTCCCTCTTGAGGCAGGGCCTCCTGCCACCTTCTGTCTCTAAGCCTTGGCTGTCCGACCTCAGGCCCAGATTGGGAGCCCCATCTTCCTCTCAGAGCCCCAGCCCTGGCTTATCTGGGGGTGAGCTGAGAATGGCTTGTTTTCCATTCTCCTCCCTCCTCCCCCACCTCGTTTGGAATGCCAGGGCGGGAAGGGCTTTGGAGATCAGCAGATGTAGGCCTGCCGGAAGCTGGTGGGACTTGTCCAAGAGTCTATAGGTACCTGAGGAGGGACTGGTATTCGAGGGCAGAGGCCAGGGCAGGCCTGCACGCAGGGGGCTGGGTCTTGCCTGCCTTTGAGAGGTTGATGGTGCAGTTGGCCGTGGTGTGGCTGCACAAGCCTTGATGTGTGTGTGTGTGTGTGTGTGTGTGTGTGGAGTGGAACAGAAATGCCCTGGGTCACTCCGGTAGCATCGTGACATCCAGGCGCTGGATGAGCCCGCAGAGTGCCCAGACAGCTGCTTAGCTCTGAATCACACATACCTGAGGCCCATCTTTAGGGGATGAAGTGTGTGCATGCAGGTTCCACTGGGTGCTGTTCCTTTGACTCTCACATCAATGTCCCCATTGGCACTTGGGCTGGAGTCTCAGCTGGGATCACGGTTGTTGCATGCATGTGTGCACACATACACACATGCATGCACACACACGTGCACATTAGCATCTCCCTCATGGTCACTTGGGGTCCTCCAGGCTCACAGGGCCGGAAGGGCATTTCCTTGCCTCTACACAGGGCTGAACTCCCTTATGGGCAACTGCCTGGGCCTTTAGAATTTCCAGAAGTGGGAATCCCCATTCTCTCTGAGCCTAGAGGCGGGTCTAGGCCACTCACGTCTGAGAAGCCCGACCATCCCATTCCAGCCTGGCCAGTGGGTCCGACAAGGAGGAAGGGGGAGCATAAGAAGATGCCAGCCTCCTGAGGTGCTCATTTCTGCACCCCAAATCCAAGTCCAGCTAGTTCTGCCCACGCATCTCGACAGACAAAAGCTGGCACCCAGGGGGTCCTGTGCCCAGCGAGGGTGGGACCTGAGCCTGCTGCTCAGCCCCCTCACTCCTTGGGCTTCACCCTCTGCTGACTGGTGAGGCCATGAGCTCCAGGAGAAGAGGGGCTTCGTCTGTCCGTGGTGGTATCCAGGGCTGGCACAGCACAGGCACTCAGGATGAATTGGTGTTGGGGGCGCTGCTTCCTGGCCATGTGTCATTTTATGGAAGGTGCAGGGAGGCAAGGGACCAGGTAGAAGGAGGCCGTGGAAATCCAAGTTAAGGGAGCATGGAGGAGGAGCAATCGGGGGACTTCCAAGAGGAGGTGGTGCTGGAGCTGAGCCCGGGAGGATTCCAGCAGTCAAAGGGTGGGAGAGAAGGGGACTTCGGGCAGAGCAGCATCAAGCCTGGGATGGTCCCGGCCACTAAGACCCACTGCGACTGGAGCGAGAGATGAAGGGAAAGGCAGGCCGGGAGGTTAGGGTGAGCTGGGGTGCGAGGAGCGTGGAGCCACGTGAGCAGGTCCCGCTTGGTCCACTCAGCAGAGGAGGGAGCCCGAGGCTTGGCAGGGGAGAGGACAGGAGCCCCTCTGTGGCTGCAGCCTGGAGCATGTGGTGGCAGGTGGGAGGCCATGGAGGCAGGGAGTCCGCTGTTGAGAGGCTGTTGCTGAGGCCCAGCTGAGGGACGGCGAGGGGAGGAGGGCAGGCCCAAGAAACAGTGACAATGTGGAATTGACAGGATCTAGAGATCTGATGAGCCAGCGTGCCGAGAGGTGACACCGGGGCCTGGTGTTTACGCAGCACAGGTTTCCCCAAGACAATTTCTCATGATGGGTATGACCAGTCTCACGGTAGTGAAGGGACGGTCCTAGAATCTCAGGGGGTAAAGTGCTTGCTCATGACCCAATTATTTATTCATTTATTATTTCTTACCTTATTCCAGTAAAGGTTTTTGGTAGCTTAAACAAATACATAAAATAAAACAACAGGATATTAAACTGTTTAAAGAAAAATAGGGATGGAGAAGCTAAAATTGTGCACTGTAACAACCTGCAGTCTGGCTATACGTGGACCACACATTTGGCCCTGAACTTCCTAACAGCTGAGATGAAAAGGGAAACTTGATCAGAAACATTAGATAATATAAAGATTAGATTTAAAAAGTTTTAGAATAAATCCTTTGGGGGAAATACAGTTCCTATTAGTATTAAAACCATGGGTGTCTTTATCAGATGATCCCAGTGGCACAATGCTGTCAGCAATATCTGTAGAGTAAATGCAACTGTAAATCTTACAATGCTCTTTCGCCATGTTGAGAAAGGCTTCACACCAAAGCACCACTCAGTAAAAGCTGTTCTTCGGGGGTGTGGCTGTTGTTGGTAAGAAGCTGCCAGCTCTGGGCTGGTCTGGCTTCCTTGAAGAATGCATTATCGAATATGTGCAAGAGTCCCTGGATATCCTTGAGCCTTGATCCGTGAGCATTGTGTATTTCACCCGAGTCAAGGATAACCAGAGGGACAGTGAGTTCAAGGTCGTGCTTCAGTGTGAGCCCAGTAGCAGTTCTCTGGTGCCATGTTCAAGGAAGTGGACATGCTTTAAGGCAATTTTGCCGAAGAAAGGTTAATACCTGCTATGAAAGCTGAGTCACTGAAACTCCCGTGACCCCACCTTGCACCCAGCACATCCAGCCCCTCCCCCCTCAGGCATCCTCCTGGTTTGCTCTCCCTCCTTCCCTGCACAGCTGCTGTGCCAGTCTCGATGTTCCTTCAAAGTACGGCCCCTGCTGCTGCCTCAGGGCTTTTGTACGTGCTGTTTCCTCTTCTTGGAATGCTGGTCTCCCAATCCCCGGCCTGGCCCATTCATTGTCCCCCTCTTACAGGTTTTAAGTGTCTTTCCTGATTTCTGATCACTTTTCTGATCTAATCACTCTAGGCTGGAGTCCCCTTTTCTGCATTCTCATGGCACCTTGTTCTTTAACTTTTTAACCCTTCATACAACTGTAATGATGTGGTTATTTGTCTGAATGTTTACTTACCGTGTCACCTCACTGGCCTATCAGCTTTGTTCTTTGCACACCAAGGGCCTCGCCAGGTGGCTTATGGTACATGCTCAGTAAATAGATCCTTAACGAGCATGCCAAGTTAACATGTCCTAGTCATGAGAAAGGACTGAGATTTTCATCAGGAAGCTGCTCTTTGAATCCTTTGTGCAGAGAGGGGGTCAGCCCCCTCTAGCAGCACTGCAATGGTCTGTACAGGAAGAAAAGGCCTCAGGCAGGAGGGTAGTGAGATGGCCATCTTGGCTAAAATTAAACCTCACGTAGGCACCTTTAGGAGCGTTAGCTCTGACCAATAATATTGCTCCCTGGTGACAAGGCTAGTTTGTTTCCTTCCGAAGGATTTGATATCAGGCCTCATCTGCCTCAGCCCAGAGCTCTTTGTAACAGGCCTTTCAGGTCTTGTCCTCTGGCCAAAAGTCCATATCCCTAAAATGAGGCTTCCTGCCATGTGCAAGGTCTCTGCTCCCATCTTGGAGTTGAACAAAACTTCTGGGGCTGCCCGCTTCTCTGAGAGCAGCCCAGGGGTCCTCTAGGAACAGCAGTTCTTTCTCTGCAGGTGTGTGGCCATGATGATAAATGGACTCACGCCCAGCACCATCGAGAACTTCTACCTGGCTGGCTGCAAGGTGAGAACAACCTGGACCCTCAGGGGCCTTCAAGAGTACCCCACACTCTGGGATCTCACCTACCGGACCCAGCTCCAAAAAATGTATTCGGAGGCACCAACTTAAGGATAGTAATATTTTAGTTTGCCAAGTGAACACATTTTCTTAAAAAATCATTTTATTTTTAAAAGGATGTTTTAACACCAAAAAAGTAAAAAGGACTTAACCTTGCGGGGAGGTGGGGAGTAGCACAGCCTTTCTCCCCAAGACAGCAGACAACCTTCCAGGACATTCTTGCTAGAGTTGTGCGATCTTGTCCCACCTGGGCCCAGTCAGAGTGCCATGTCAGTGCTGGGGAAAAATGACCTAATCCAGCTCCGTCATTACCAGAGGAGAAAACTGAGACCCAAGTAGGGCAGCAGCTTGCCCAGGTGACCAGCTTTGGAGGGGCAGTGCTGGGTTCAAACCTCAGACCACCTGATCCCAGTTCCCTGCATGCGGCCACCATTGGCCTGGGGGGACACAGGCATTGTGAAACAGATGCATTTTACCGTAACATTAGGGTCACACACAATCAGCCTGTCACAGTGCCCTTGTCATCACATCTGAGAATGTTTTATCTGCCTGTTTTGTCAAAGACAGCTACGTGGTCCTCCCCCTCACTCCACTAGTATTAGAAAGTCACTCTTGGTGGCATCTTTGCATTCTAGTCTGCATTTCTCAGCAACTCTTTCACCCCAGAAGGACTCCAAGCCCTGAGGATGTTCAAGGTGTGCTAAGACCCTCTCAGGGTCCACTTTCCCTGTCCTTTAATTCTTGCTTTTAAGGTGTGTGCCCCTTATAGCCTCAGAACTCCACACGGCCCATCTGGCCCTTCTGTGATCAGTCACTGACTTTAGCCCAGGGATTTCAGTGTCCAAGGCCCACCTGAGCTTGTGTCTGGCTCTGCCACTTAACTGGCACGTGACCACAGGCAAGAGCAGAAACCTGGGAGCCTGTCTCTCCATTGGTAAAATAGGGATAATAATAAGCTAACTTAGTAGGGTTGGGGTAAGGATTGATTTAAATCAACCAGGTGCAGCGCCCCAAGCCTAGCAAACACTTAGACAATGGTACCTGCTATAATTTGTGTATTCTGTAAAAAAGGTTTGAGCACGTCAGGGCGTGACATTCCCTCTCGGGCACGCATGCAGCATCATCACAGGCCAGCAGAGGGCGCTGAGAACTCAGAAATTCTTTCATGTATTGGCTTTTCTTGCCTTCTCAGTACAAGGAAGAGCAGCTCACCACGGCCTGTGTGAAGTGGTTGGAAATGAACTTGGTCCCTCTGGTGGGGACGCAGATCCACCTTCGGAAAATCCCTCAGGAGCTCCTCCACAAAGTGCTGATGTCCCCCAGGTTAGATCTGGTTCCAGGGATGGGCCTGTTGGAAAAGAATGTGCCCAGGGGGGCTGCCCCCACACCCCTGCAGAGCATACCTGTGTCCTCCTCGACGTCAAACTTCCTGCCCTCCTGGGTGGCCAGGCCTCGAGTGGGCCTGAAACTCAGGGAGCTGTGTGAGGGATTGGGGAGGGAGCTCCCTTCACACTCCTCCTAGTGGGGACCCTCTGGGTGCCCGCTGTCTCATTACCCACCTGGGTGAGAAAAGTGAAAGACCTGATTGCCTAAGTAATTTAAAAAAAATTAAATTCAAATTAAAATCAAATTAAATTCATGACAACATGAATACACGTTGATTGCGGAAATTTTGGAAAACAGGGAAAGGCTGAAAAGGGGAAATAAAACCTCTTACCCCAAATCAGTGTATATCTCCAGCCCTGACCCCTCTACTGAATAGCTCTAGAGCCAGATACTCGAGAGAGTGACCTCTCTGACAGTTAAGACTAAAACCCAATTCTTGGTGCCCCTTGCCCTTTACTGTACGCTCACTCCATGCCCACTGTTCCTCGACCATTTGGTCAGCTGCTCGAGCTAGGACCTGAGAGTCCTCTGGACACCACGCCACTCTGGCCTCACTCTGACCTTGAGGTCAGTTCTCCTTACGGACTGAGCCCATCTCTATGGGCTTCCGTCCACGGGCACCAGCCCCAGCCAGTCCTCCATTGTCTCTCATTTGGACCATCACAGCGACCTCTAACTCAGCGTCTGCCTTCTGGTCTTGACCCCCTTCCAATCACATCTCTAGCCACGGGGCTTTGGCTCTGTGGACCGGTCCCCTGAGTCATTCATGGAACCATTCCCCAGTGCTTGGCTTTTTTGGTTATTTCCAATGTTTTATAAATATAAATAGCACCTTGGTCCTTTGACATATGTTTATCATAATCTCGGATTATTTCCCCACATTAAACTCCTAGAAGTAAAATTAGTAAGTCAAAAGGACTTTGTTTCCATTAGTCTTTTAAAAAATATTTCATTTGAAAATAATTTGCAGCTTAAAGAAAAATTCCAAGAATAATATAGAGAGTATCAACATACCCTTTACCCTGAGCCGCCTATTATTCAATTTGTGCCCTGTTTTGTCATTTATATCTATATGTGTATCTACATGTACACATACTCGGGGGATGAGAAGGGGCCTGGCAGGGACGGGCATTTCAGGCAGGAGGGTCAGCACGCACAGAGGCCCGTGGGGCAGGACTCAGCAGGGAAGTCTGGGCAGGTCCCAGCAGCCGCTGCGTGGTGTGGGGGAAGCAGGAGCCTGGTCAACAGAGCCAAAGGCCTGTGGCTAGACATGTGCTTGGAAGGGGGTCAAGACCAGAGGGCAGACACAGAGTTAGAGGTCACTGCGGTGGTCCAGATGGGAGATGTGTATATGTATCTACACACACACATACTTTTTTCCTGAACTGTTGGAGGTAAGTTGCACACATAATGCTCCTTTACCCCAAATGCTTCAGTGTTTATTTCCTATAAAAAAATTTTTGTTTAATATAACCTCAGTCAGTGCAGTTATCAACTTCAAGCAATTTAACATTGATATAATACTTTAACATCATTGGCCCGATACCATCTTTTACACACTTTTTCCCTCCGATGCTGGATCCAGTTTAGGATCACATATTGCATTTTATGTTGTCTCATCTCTTTGAGCCTCTTTTTAATAGGATCTTGGCACCTGTTGCAAATTACCAAGGTTGTATCCCCTTTGGGTGTATTTCAAAAGTGAAAACTAAATTCTACTAAAAATCTTAGTGGTAACTTAGAGAATAAGTGTTTACCCACGTCAGTGTGGTGGAGAGCCTGGTGATTTCAGAAGTTAGATCTGGAAAGACTGACTCCACTGCTGGCTTGAATTTACTAAGCAGCATGCAGTGCCCTCACATTGATGGAGACGAAAGGCTGCTAGGACAGAGCTCTGATGTTGAGGGAGACCAGACCATATTATCTAAGAAGACTCCAGCCAGGAGCCCTGGCCCCATGAGCAGCCCCAGGGCACTGGGTGTGTCCCCAGAGTCATTCTGCTCGGTCCTCCTAGGCCTCCCCCACCCCTAAAGGGGCAAAGGTTATGCAATCATTGAAGAAAATATAAACACGACATCCCTTAGACTTTTCACAACACTGTCCCTCCCTTGGAAAGGCTGAGCTGTCCCACCCTGGTACCATTTAACCAAAAAGTGTGGTGGTGGGGGGGAATGTCTGACCACAACCAGAACGTTAGTGATGGAATAGGCCCGACAAAATGTAGCTGGGCAGGAAAAGAGGTCAAGGACATGACGTGTTCAGTGTCTAGACTCACCAGCTGGGGCAGACATGAGTGATTTGGAAACTGGGTCCTGCTCCTCCGGCCCCCTGCCCAGAAGCTGTCTGCACAGGCAGTCCAGGGCTACCCCAGCTCACGGAGGGCAGAGCCCGCATGGCCTCAAGTGGGCAAGGAGATGGTGACCACAGTTGACGGCTGCCCAGATTCGGGCTCACATCATCCAAAGTCAATTTCCAGTGGCCACCCACTTTAAAGCTTGGGGTCAGTGGGGGACAGAGGATGCAGGAAGAGGGGCGCTTGTTAGAAATTTAACCAGGCTGGGGTTCCTCGTCTAAGGGCGCTTGGTGAGTGGATTGGGTGCCATGGCCCACACCTGATTAAGAACGCACCTATCCATGAGCTAACTTTTGTTGAGCACTTTGTGGTGTGTGCTGTGCCATGTGCACTGTCCCTGTTAATCCCTGCAGCCCCATGGGGCAGGTCCAGTGATGATCCCTGAGATAACAGGAGCTCCAAGCCCAAATCCTGCCCTCAACCCTGCACCTCCTTACTTGCTGTGGAGGCTGAGTCTTTCCAGATGCCAGAGGAACCCAGCAGGAACTGGGTTGTCCCGAAGAGTCTTGTGGCCTCAGAGTGGAATGTGTGGAAGTGCCAGCTCCTGAGGTCAGGGGGACATGTCCCTCGGCCTCACTCAGCTGTGCCTCCAGCCACCAACTGTGGCCCCTCCCCCAGGTGTGGTGTTTGGAACAACATCCGTTTCCAGCAGATGCTTCAACTTCTGGGCCGTTTAGTCTTCCCTGTCTCTTTGACCTCATCTTCCTCTGGGTTTTGCTTTCCATTTTGTAAATAACCTGGGGTAAAATATACACACCTTTCCTGACCTCCTGGGCCTCTGGTTTTATTTTGTTTGCCTGGGCATTCGGTGTTCAGTTCATTTTAGAGGTCACCACTAGGTTACCCTGTGCTACTGACTCTAATGTTATGAAACCTTCACTCCAAGTTCCGTTTTCCTGGAAGCCAAGCTCCTTGTGGACACAGGAGGATGGGGACCTCACAGGACTATCTAATTCCTGTCTACGCAAAAGGCCACCTTGCATCCAGGGGGCTCTGCGTCTCTCCGTGTTTCCAGTTCTCCCTGACTTCCTGCCTGTGGTCCAAGGAGTCCTGGGGTCTCAGGGCTTCCCTAAGAAAAGCCACCCCGTCCTCCTGGTCATGTATGTCCCACGGCCTTCTTCTCAGTGTGAGACGCTGGTTCCCACTGGCATCTGGAAGAACTCCGCTAATGTTAAAGCTTCTCCGGCTATAATAACAATAACCACCAATTATGTAAGCACTAGTTGTGTGCAGAACACTCTGAGTGGGTTGGCCAGACCAATTCCTATAGCAGCCCCATGGGGTGGGTACTGCTACCTGCGTTTTTCACCTGTGGATTGGAGATTTCAGGAAAGGTAGGGACTAGCCAAAGGTCCCCCCATGCAGCATGAGAGTTGGGATTTGAACTCAGGTCTGAGTGGCCTCAAAGCCCATGGTCATAACCAGCCCCCTGACACGCTGCCCTTCATGACGCCTTCTTTTTCCTTATGGATGGTCAAGATCAATAACGATATTGGTATTATTATTATCAATGTAAAAAAAATTATAAAGGTGGGAGGATAACACAAAACACAATCATACTCATGTCCTCAGATGAACATATACAGTTGGCCCTCCGTATCTGTGGGTTCTGCGTCCACAGATTCAGTCACCCGAGAATTGAAAATATTAAACAAGGCCAATACAAAAAGATCACAATGATAAAAAATAAATAAAAAACAATATAGTGTGACAGCTCTTCACATAGCAGTTACATTGCATTAGGTGTTGTAAGTAATCGAGAGGTGATTTAAATGACGTGGGAGGATTTGCATAGGTCATATGCGGATACCGCAACGTTTTATATAAGGGACTTGAGCGTCCACGGATTTTGGTTACAGTGGGATCCTGGAACCAGTCCCCTGAAGATATGGAGGGACGACTGTAGTAACATTTTGTCATAAATTAAGACGTCAAGCATTGCCAGTAAAGCAGGTCACCTATGTCCCGCTTCCCAGTCCTGTTCCCTTCCTCTCTGTCTATGCCTTTGCTTCCTATCAAACCACGGTTAGGAACTCGTGCAGAACCAATGCATGTGATATGCTCTTACTACATACGTGTCATCCGTAAGTAATGTGTAATCTTGTTTTGCAAAGGTTTGAACTTCAAATAAATGTTCTCACAGTGATTGTGATGTTCTGCGGCTTATTCAGGAACATCAAGCGGTGTGTGGTCTCCGTGTTGATACTTACATATCTAATTAGCATTTTAAATTTAATTGTTGTACAGGGTTCTATTGATTGGACACACAGCGATCTTTTTTCATTCCCTTCCTAATGCCCTTTCATTTTGTTTTTTTTGTTTCTGTGACAAACAGTGCTGCCATGAGCATGCTTGTTCGTATCTCATTCACACGGGCACAGCTTTCTCTATGGTCTATGTTCAAAATGGGGCTTTCATTGTTTATATAAAATTTTCTCAAATAAAAAATAGAAGACAGGAGGACAGTGTCTTGTGAAAAGCATTTTTTCCCTCCTAAAGAACAAACACCAGTTATATTCCAGGGGCTGCTAGCAAGCAGCAGTAAACACATGTAGTGCACAGCCCAGCTGCGTCCGCCTGTGCTGCAGGGAGGTTTGGAGTTGCTGTGGGTCCCATTCTCACTGAGGCCATCAGAGCTCTTAGGTAAATGAAAACACGTTTGACTGTCCTCGGCATGGGTACTTGCTGCAGGGACTGATACTTTTGGGTAGTGATACTGGTTTAAAGGCAAAAGGCTTTGCTTCAATAATTATCCTTCATAAATAAAACCAGATTCTGATCAGTGGAGCTCCAGATTGCTCCCCCGTGCTGCTACGGGCTCCTCTTTTGTAAGATCTCCAAGAACTTTCTAGGCTTCAGGAATGCATGCATGGAGTCTGCGCTGGAAGTCACGTAGTTTTTGCAGTTGAGCTGACACATTTCTTTGTGGGGACATCACATCCAGTGGCTCTGCGAGGAATCTCCCCATTCCTGCCTCACCGTTGTTGCCCAGACAGTGGCCAACTTGGTCCTGTCTAGCCAGGATCAAAGCCCATGCATCTGTAGGTGGCCCGAAAATGAAAAAGGAGGAAAGAGACAGTTCTGCTCTGTCCAGAAATAGCATGAGAGGTGGGTGGGTGACATTTCCATTGCTGTTTAGAGTCACGACTTAGCCTGGGTTCCACCCACTATGCCCACTTAAAGTGGTGAATAAAGAGACTGGGGCATATTTTAAAGCAGGGTGCCATGTCCACGGTCAGAGACTGAAAATATCAACGAGTCTAAGAAACGTTGAAATGGCTCCGTAGATAATCATCAGAGGCCGTTAGAAAAGCTGTTTGGGAAACAACCATACTTTACAGAGCTGACATCACCGGGGGCACCAGCTGCTCTTTGGCATCATTTGTTTCTTGAGGAAGGGCCTCATGCTGCTGCAGGCCCAGGGTGGGCTCTGGAGCCGGCACCCAGCCCTGCCACTTATGAGCAAGAGCTGCCATTTACTGAGCATGTCGTTATGTGCCAGGTGCTGTGCTAAGCTCTTTGTATGTGGGTGGTCAGCCGAATAATGGCCTCAAAGACGTCCACGTCCCAATCCCTGGAACCTGTGAATACGTTAGGTTATATGGCAAAGGGGAATTAAGGTTGCAGTTGGAATTAAGGTTGCTAATCAGCTGACTTTAAAGTTATCTGGGATCATCTGGGCGGGCTCCGTGTAATCACAAGGGTGTTTAAATGGAGAAGAGGGAGGCAGAAAACTCAGGACCAGGGAGGGATTTAAAGATGCTGTGCTACTGGCATGAAGATGGAAGAAGGGACCACAAGACAGGGAGTGCTGGTGGCTTCTACATGCTGGAAAAGGCAAAGGGACGAATCTCCTCAGCGCCTCCTGGAGGATCAGGGCCCTGCTGACACCTTGATCTCAGCCCAGTGAGACCTGCTTTGTACTTCTGACCTCCAGAACTATGAAACAACAAATCTGTGTTGTTTGAAGCTGT